TTTAAGATTTATTTATTTATGCATAGAGAACTGGGGTACAGGCCAGAGGCTCAGGGGTGGTGAGAGGATTCACCAGAGACAGAGTGGGGAGCAGAGCAAGCAGATCGATGAAGCATCACTGCTGAGGGGAGCAGCGGGCGGGTCAGGAATGGTGGATCGAACTCATGCTGAAGTGGCTTTAGCGTCTTAGTGCTGTGCTTTACCCCGCTGCGCCACCAAGGAGGGCCAACTGTTACCCTAGTCTTTACCAAGAAGAGGTGCTAAGGATATACAGACCTCTTCCGTGCATTTATTCCTCTGGGAATTTACTGATGAAGGAAGGGACAAGATATTCCTTCCAAGGCGCCCAGGAGTAACAGAGCACCCTCTTGTTTTCCAGGTGGGATGGATAGCAGGGTCTCGGGTCCAGCCAGTAATGGAGAGACAAAACCAGTGTACCCAGTCACGGAAAAGGCAGAGGAAGATGGCACCCTGGAACGGGGGCACTGGAACAACAAGATGGAGTTTGTGCTGTCAGTGGCCGGGGAGATCATTGGCCTGGGCAATGTCTGGAGGTTTCCCTATCTCTGCTACAAAAATGGGGGAGGTGAGAGCTACCGCGCCATCCCCCCTACCCCAGAAGGAGGCTGGCTCCATCTCCTGCTGCCCTCTGGGGAGGGCAGCGCCTCATAGAATGCTGGACTTGGAAGGACCTTCACAAGTCCTTCAGGACACTGCAGGAGACCGAGACCAGGCAGATGATATGACTTTCCCCAGGGTCTGTGCTATGGCAGGCACCAGAGAAATATGAGTGTAGGCGGCATCCAGAGGGGTCGGGGTCGAGATTCTGGCTCGGCTGCTCTCGTGGGGTCCTGGGCAAGTGGCTTCCACCCTCCCAGCCTCCTCGCTGCTCCAGCCTACTGAGGGAATAACACCTGCCTGTGAAGGCTGTGTGAGGGGTAGAGGTAATGTGTATGAAGAGCCAGTAAGTGGTGACAGGCCCTGACACTGTTGACACCAAACTGCCCTGTGGGCCTGAGACTCCTCAGCCTTGGCCCTGAGGCCCGCACTGGCCTTTCCTTGGGCCATGGTTGCCCATCCCCTCCTCACCCCCCATGGTGGTTCCTCCTTTAAAAATGTCCCACCAGAACCATGTGCGGCAAACTCTAACTGTTCACCAGGTGTTTGTGGGCTCCTCACGCCTTTCCATTCCAGAGGCCCCCACAGTAGTGGTGGTGATTTTTCTTCTACCAGCTCACTTTCAGGGACTCTCAGGTCTCTGTGGGGAGCCCCAGAGGGGCTGGAAGGTTCTCACTGGGCAGCGGGTTAGGATGGTCTTCATGTCAATGTTGGTAAAGTGTGGAGGGGTTTGGGGGCCATGTGTAGTTCTGAAGTGAGATGCAGCCTGGGCTGCAGGAGGGGAGGACAGGGTGGGCCAGCAGGGGACAGGCTGAGAGGAGCGGGCCACAGGGAAAGCAGGTGACTGGATGCCACAGCCACCCTTTTGTAGGGCAGCAGGAGGCCCCAGAGACCCAGTTCCCCATCTCGGAGGTCTGAAGAGAGAAAACGTACAGCTGGGGAGACACAGAGAGGTGCTCCAAGCTCTTAGACCCGTGCTGTTAGGTTTGTGGCAACTGGGGGATTGGCCCTGAGTTTGGAAGTTATTTGTATTTTTCCAGAGGGAGTGGGAATGAGCTGTCAAGTCTTTTCACCCTAGCAATTTCTGGCCAGCAGCCTGAAGCAAGGGGGACTTTGCCCAGCTGCCTTGTGAAGGAAGGCCTCTCCCACCTCCCAAGGCACATGCTCCAGAGAATTCAGACCTGAGCACCCTCCCTGTGGGGGTTTGGGTGGAGCAATGGGGCTGCTGGGAGGGGCGGACTGGAGGCTAAGCGGCACCTGGAAGCCAGCTTAGCCTCTCACGAGGCAGAAAGCCTGGGTGGTGAGCAGGCTTGGCTCCTTTCCTCCTGGTTTAGTGACTTTATTTAAATCCATGACTCCCAGGTTGATGCCTGGGCTCCTAGGGTGTGGGAGGATTATTTTGAACAAGTTCTGGAGAAGGGTACTAGGGTACCCCGGGGGGACACAGCCCACCTTGGGCCCTTTCTCTAAATCCATAGCTGTAAAGAGCACGCTCGGTGTAAGCGTCAGTAGGCAGGGACAGACTAGAGACTACTGATTTTAGTGGCCATGCACCCCCTCCTTCATCTCCAAGACTAACTCGCCTTTAGTGGGGTGACTGGGGCTCGGGCGGGAAAAGAGGCAAGGTGCCCCCAGGACCCCAGGTCCCTCCTGAGCTCAACCCCACCTCCAGCCCTGCCTCAACTGTGGGGCTAGCGACTCTGCCTGGTGAGTGTGGACCTTGTCCTTTGTCCAGGCCGCCCCAGCGCCCAGAGCAGAGGAGGAGGGGAGCAGAGCTGACCGCAGACCCAGGGCAGTTAAACATTGGCTTGGTTGACTGGGAAATTGCAGGTACCGAAGATGGCAGCTGGGCTTGCCCGGGCCGAGGACCCTCTCTCTGCAGTGTGTCTGACTCTCAGCAGTGACAGTGCGTATCGGCTCCTGAGTTCCCTGTTCCCTGTTGCCCTACAAGTCTGCAATTGATTTATGGGCTTATTGGACTGAATTATTTAGGACCTTTATGTTGCTGTCCTTGTGGTAATCAAATGCTTCCCTCAGTGCTGGGATGATGGATGTGTTCTAGGCTTCACCCAGAGACTAGAAGGTAAGAACTGGGGAACTCTATCCCCAGTTGACTTTGTTTTGAAGAGTTTTATTAGGGTCCACATGGTTCACCACAAATTGCACATATTTCAAGTGCACGATTTGATCTTTTTTGACATTTATATACACCCACGAGGCATTGCCATAAATCAAGGTAATAAAAGATAGCCATCAGGCCCCAGATGTCCTCCTGTCTGTTTCTCTCACCTCTGATCTCTGCGACCCCATCCCACCACACCGCAGATACTTTAAAAAAAAATATGTTTCCAGCTTAATGGAAAGAAGCTTTTAAGATTTATTTTTATTTATTTATGAGTACAAGATCTGGGGTCTAGGCTAGAGGAATGTGTTGGCGGGGTGGTGAGAGGATTCACCAGAGACAGAGTGGGGAGCAGAACAGGCAGGCTGACTGAAACACATGGCTGAGGGGAGCAGCAGGGAGACAGGAGAGGTCTGCTAAGCCATGTGGGTCACTCCCTGGCTGGGGATTGAATTCAGGCCACAGCGGCTGGTGATGGTGTAATAACTCAGACCTAATAACCCCTGTGCCACCAGGGAGGCCAGAGAGATTTTCCACCTATGATATATGTAAGGTTCAGACTTTGTCCATCATTACTTGACCTACATACATATATTGCAAAATGACAGCCAGAAGTCAGGTGACTCTCCATCCTTTCACATAATTAACCTGACAGTTTTTTTCCTTTTCTGGTGATAATATTTAAGAGCTACTCCCTCAGCAACCTTCAAGTTTATAACACAGTCGAGTTCACAGTAGTCACTCTGCTATAGATTGATGCCCAGGATTAATTCATCTTAGAGCTGAAGGTTTGTAATCCCCACCCACTCTTCTCTCTCAGCCCCAGGCCACCACTGTCCTGTTCTCTATTTCCATGAATTCATCCTTCGTAGATTCCATAAAAGTGAGAACATGCAGTATTTGTCTTTCTCTGTCCGACTTATTTCTCTTAGCCTCAAGGTTCATCACAAATCGCAGGATTTCCTTTTTTTAATGGATGAATAATTTTCCATTCTATACACACCATACCTTCTTTATCTATGCATGTGTCAATGGAGACTTGGGCTGTTTCCATTCTACAGACCTGTTTTTTGTCAATACTGCTGTTTTGATGAATTTGCATTTCCTAGAATTTTATATAAATGGATCGTTCACTATGTACTTTGCTTTCTCTGGTTTCATTCACTTGGCATAATTATTTTGATTATCATCCATATTTTCCATGTGTCGGTAGCTCATTGTAAAGAATGTATCCCATTGTACACATGCGCTATAATTTTTTTATCCTTTCTCTTGTTGATGGATATTTGTGTTGTCTCCAGATTTCAGCGATTATAGCTAAGCCTGCTAAGAACATTTGTGCATAAGTCCTTGTATAAAGATATGTTTTTATTTCTGGTAGTTACTACCAAGGCAGGAATGACTGGATTACATGGTAGTTGCACAATTAACTTTTTAAGGAACAACCAAACACTTTTCTGAAATAGTTGTACCATTTTACGTTCTTGCCAATGGTGCATGAGAGTCCCAGTTTCCCCACATCTTTCCAATTCTTGCTGAGCCTTTTAAATTTTAACTTTTTAATTAGTGTGTAATAATATTTCATGGTCGGGCCCTCCCTCGTGGCACAGTGGGTTAAAGCACAGCTCTGGGAAGCTAGCAGCAGCCACTTCAGTACAAGTTCGATCCCTCATGAGGGAGGTGACCCACATGGCACAGCAGACCTTTTCTGATTCACCTGCTGCTCCCCTCAGTACTTCAGTCAATCTGCCTGTTCTGCTCCCCGCTCTGTCTCTGTCCCTTTCACGGCTGATAGTTTTCAGTATATAAGTCTTTCACCTCCTTGGTTACATTTATTCCCAGGTATTTGAGCCTTTCTTGTGCAAATGTCAAAATGGGATTGTTTCCTTAATTCTCTTTCTGATAGTTTGTTTTTAGCATTTAGGAATGCAACTGACTTTTGTATATTGATTTTGTGTCTTGTAACTTCATTACATTTCTTTAAGTTTTTTTTTTTATAGAGTCTTGAGGATTGTCTATATATAAGATCATATCATCTGCAAAAAGTTTCACTTCTATTCTGTTCTATTACTCTGTTGTTTATTTTGATGCCAATATCATTGTTTTACTTACCAGAGCTTTATAATAATATCTAAATCAGTTAGACTTAAGCCTAAAATTTAGTCCATCTTTTTCAAAGATGTTTGACTATTTCAATTCTTTTGCTTTGTCATTTGAATATTAGAATCTGTATGTCAATTTCCAAAAAAAAAAAGCCTGTTGAGATTTTGAATGGGATTGCAATAAATCTATGGGCTCAATTTGGGGAAAAATTAACTTTTTTTAATAATATGGAATTTTCTACCCCATGAAAATGACATGCCTTGCCATTTATTTAAGTCTGTCATTTCTCTCAATATTTAGTAGCTGTGAGTGTACATGTCTTTTGCACGTCTTTTATCAGATCTATTACTAAGTATTTAATAATTCTGGTGCAATTATGCATGGTAGTATTTCTTAAATTTTACTTTATGGTTTCTTGTTGCTAATATGTAGAAATATAGTCGATGTTTGTGTGCTGATGTGTATCCTAAATGAACTTATTGGTTCTAGTAGCTCTTCTGTGCTTTCCAAAGAATTTTCTTTTCTTTTAAAGCCATTTAATGAGGTATGATGGATATACAAACATAGTTCCTGTATGTAAATCAATGAATCTTTGTGATTATAAACACCCATCACTACACTGAAAGACACACTTCTCTTTATCTCTCAAAGTTTCCTCCTGCCTTCTTTTTGTATTTTAATATTTCTAGAATAAGAACTTAATCTAAGATCTATTCTCTTAGCAAGTTTTTAAGTATACACTAACACTGCTTTGGGCCCAAGATTTACTTTGCATAACTGAAACTTCGTCAGACCGCCACCTCCCTGCTCCCCAGCTCTTGGTAACGACCTGCTGTGCATAACCACCCGCTGTACTTGACCATCCAGCCACTGTACAAGCTTAACCATTTCAGCGTCTAAAGAACTTTCTACATAGACTACCATGTGTCATTTGTGAATAAGTCAGTTCTGTTTTTTTCTAAACTGTATTCAGTTTATTTTTATTCCTGTCTGACACTAACAGCAAACATTTCCTTGAGAGGAATTGTGAACTGTGGGCTGCAATAGTGCCCCTGGATATCCATTATTCATTGAGTTCCTTGCTATCGCCATACTTAGTATTCTTTAAGCAGCAATTGATATTTGATGGGAAGCAAACCTTGGTAGGTATAGATAGAAACTTCAGAGTGGAAGAAGGTGAAGGACTAGTTAAGTCCCAGGAAGCTGGTGATTTCTGATTACTGCTGTGATTCCTGATGTCTAGACTGACTTCCCCTGTAGCGTGGTGTGTCCCTCCCCCACCAGGCTTCTGACTGGCAGTGTGGGGTGGGAGTGGAGGAGATGAATGTGGACCATGAGAAGGCTAGTGCAGATAATGGACAGTCTGTTTTCTACCCACAGGGGCCTTTTTCATCCCCTACCTCATCTTCCTCTTTACCTGTGGCATTCCCGTCTTCCTCTTGGAGACAGCACTGGGCCAGTACACCAGCCAGGGAGGCATCACAGCCTGGAGAAAGATCTGTCCCATTTTTGAGGGTGAGTAGCTGTGTGATACCAGGGTGTCTGCACTAGCAGTTATAAACTTTCTTAGGAATGACTGAGTGGGTTAGCAAAAGTGTTGACTGAGATCAGACTCTACGTCTTCATGCCAAACCTTCCTTTTATGGGCCCAATACTGAGTTAGACCCATTAGGTGAATGAAGAAAAAGAAAAATACTGGTGAGCATTCAGAGTCTAATAAAGATGGCAGTGCCCAGGAAGCTGGGGCAGTCCAGCAGGAGAAAGGGGGGTGGTCCCCCTCTAGCCTGGCAAGGTCTGCTGGCAGCACGGGGAGCTGGCCAGGAGGCTGCGTCCCAACCGTCTTGTTGCAGAACACTGGCCGAGGAGCGCCAGCCCTCTGCTAAGCAGGGGTGGGGCTGTGTGAGAACCCGCCTTGGTTCCGAGCCCAAACCTGCAGTTTCCCCTCCAGGCATCGGCTATGCCTCCCAGGTCATCGTGATTCTCCTCAACTTTTACTACATCATTGTCCTGGCCTGGGCCCTCTTCTACCTCGTCAGCAGCTTCACCATTGACCTCCCCTGGGGAAGCTGCCACCATGAGTGGAATACAGGTAAGGAGACTCCCCAGGGGTTCATGTCCTCCTTCTGCTACAACACATTTACCAAAGTGGAATGCCCTTTGTGCCATGCAGCCCAGGCCTCAGCCTTAACTGGGGTCACACTGCCAGGTGGATCAGGAGATCTTTCATCAAAGATAGGAGCAAGAGCTCACCAACCAGACAGGCACAACACAGTCTTTTTAAAAAAGAGATGCATGAACTTGGATGGAGCTGGAAAAAGTCGTGCTTAGTGAGATAAGCCAGAAAGAGAAAGAGAAATACCGGATGGTTTCACTCATAGCAGGAGTATGATGGGCCAGGCGAGAAAATAACAAAAATAATGAACAACCATAGACCAGAGACATTTTGCGGGGGTGGAGTGGGGAATGGGATCAAGAACGGGGGCGGGGGGAGGGAAGTACACGGGATTATGGTGATGGCACACGGGTGACTTGGTGATGGGAAACCCACAGGGATTACAATTGAGAAGGAAAAAGAAAATATACAAAATGATGTAAAAATAAACTGTTATAAAATAATAAAAAAAGAAGAGATGCATGTGTGATGCAAATCAACTCATGTACTATGAATCCATTTATTATGCAAATAGAACTGATTTCCTTTTGTGTAGTTCAAGCATTTGTTTCCATTTGAAATATGATTTTAAAAAATAATATAATAGTTTGTTTTTACATCATTTTGTGCCTTTTCCCATCTTAGTTGTAATCCCTGTGGGCTTCCCATCACCAAATCACCCGTGTGCCATCACCATAGGAAAAATGATTTGTTTTATGTGTGTATGTGTGTGTGTGTAGTTTATTTGTTTTCTTCTCATGTTTTCCTCTGATACTCTCTTAGGTCTTTTCAAATCCCAAGTCAACTGTCCTCCCCAAATCAACTGTCCTCCCCTCTCCCCATCATGGTACTGAAACATGGCCAGTGTGTGAGGAACTGAATTTTAAAGTGTTTATCTCAAGTCTGTGAAGTATTTATTTATTATTATTATTTTTTAAAGATTTATTTATTCATACAGAACTGGGGTACAGGCCAGAGATGCGGAG